TAAACTTTCACTCAATCCACAATAAAAAACTTAAATTTAAAAAAAGAGGCAGCCTATGATCAAGAGCCAGTGATCCTGAAGGAAGAAGTCTAAGGTGCATTGAAGTCATTGGCAAAGCACAAGGCACCAGGAATTGAGGGAATACAAATTGAAATCTTTCAACAAAGTGAAGCGGCACTTGAGGCACTCACTCATCTATGCCAAGAAATTTGGAAGACAACTGCCTGGCCAACTGACTGGAAGAGATCTGCATTCCAAGGAATGCAGAAATCATTAGACAATATCATTGATAGCCCATGCAAGTGAAGTTTTTCTAAAGGTAATACAGAAATGCTGTAACCATACACTGACAGAGAACTTCCAGAGGTTCAAGCCGGTTTCAGAAGAGGACATGGGACGAGAGATATCAATGCTGACGTCAGATGGATCTTGGTTGAAAGTAGAGACTACCAGAAATATGTTTACCTGTGCTGTATGGACTATACAATGGCTTTCAATTGTGTGGTTCATGACAAACTATGGCTAACATTCAAAGAATGGATATTTCATAATACTGAAATGTGCTCATGCAGAACCTATACATAAACCAAGAGGCATTTGTTCAGACTGAACAAGGAGATACACAATGGTTTAAAATCAGAATAAGTGTGCATCAGGGTTGAATCCTTTCACCATACTTATTCAATCTGTGTGATGGGCAAATAACCTGAGAAGCTAGATTATATAAAGACAAACAAGGCATCAGTCAGGACTGGTGGAAGACTGATTAACAATCTGATATGCAGATGATACACCTTGCTTACTGAAAGCAAAGAGGACTTAAAATATTTACTGATGAAAATCAAAGACAAAAGATTGCATCTCAATGTAAAGAAAACAAAAATCCTTACAATCGAACTAATAAATAAAATCACAATAAATGTAGAAAACATTGAAGTTGTTAAAGATTTAATTTTGCTTGGATCCACAATCAACATTTACAGATGTAGCAGCCAGTAAATCAAACAACAATTGCAATAGGCAAATCTGCTGCACAAGGCCTCTTTAACGTGTTGAAGAGCAGAGGTCAGTTAGAGAATGAAGGTACACCTGACCCAAACCATGGTATTTTCAATCACTTCATTTAATGTGAAAGTTGGACAACAGATAAGGAATACTATGCAAGAATTGATGCATTTGGATTATGAGGTTGCAGAAAAATATTAAAAGTGCCATGGACTTCCAGAAAAACACACAAATCTGTCTTTGGAAGAAGTACAACCAGAATGCTCCTTAGAAATGAGGCTAGTGAGACTCCGTCTCTCATACTTTGGACATGTTGCCAGAATGGACCAGTCTCTGGAGAACATCATGCTTGGTAAAGTGGAGGGTCAGTGAAAAAGAGGAAGGCCCCCAACGAGATGCACTAACACAGTGGCGGCAATGGGCTCAAACGTTAACAACACCTGTGAGGATGTCGTGGGACCAGGCAATGTTTTGTTCTATTGTGCATAGGGGTTGTTATGAATCCGAACCAATTTGACAGTCCCTAACAGCAACAATATAAATGCCTGATGGGAGGGCCATAGTCTCCTGAAGGCTTAATTAATTACAGGTCCCCTTTAGCTACTCCATGTCTACCATCCACTTCATTCCTCTGGGAATGTACATTTCTTGAAGTAGTAGTACTCGCTAGGGTACCAGTTCCTTTCCTGATACTGGGAATAGCCATTCCTCACAATGAGCTGTGGGCCTGTATGTCCTCTTCATACTCTATTGTAGCTTGTCATGACAAGCATCAAAGAAGTAAAACCATTCTCAATTGGAAATAGCCGGGCCAGTCTTGGGACAGCAGAGAGCCAAGCAGAAAAGGCTTATTTTCTAGGGAGGATTCTCCCTGAGAGTTTATTATCTCATCCCTTGATTTGGGATATCCCAATTATAAACCAGAGATGCCTAAGGATTCTGTGTCTTTGAGATCCAAGAAATCAGAATCTTTTCCAAGTGTCCATCCAGATGAATGAATAAGTGTTGCTCCGCTCAAAACTTCCCATCCCCTCCCTCACTGACCAGTTACTGACCAGCACACTCTGGCTAAAGAAACTTTCCCAAATAGCCTTACCTGGGGAAGATATCAAGGCCAGTAGGACCCAGGTACCAAACAGAAACATTTCTGTCCTTATGAGAAGTACCAAAAGCTGGAAAGGAAAAAAAAGAGATAGCAGTACTAAAGAAAGTGACAAAAAAAGAAATAGAGAAAACTCTTGGTTATTCCTGAAAGTCAACCTTTATTTCTGAAGCTTCACAGAATATGGAAAAACTGCAGCAAGAGCATTCATGATGCCGGTTCACTAAAGAAATGTCTTGCATCTACCGCAGTTTGGTTTATGTGTACAGCAAAACAATGAGATACTTATGAGAAAGCAAGAGGGAATACTTGATTAAGCTGTATTGCACTTAGCTGTTTCCAGGTTTCCACCACTGAGTCAGCAGAGGGGGGATAGCATGGAAACATGAAAACAGGGTCCACAAAGGTGAAATTTGGTAGTGTTTATCTGGTACTGTGCAATAAGGTCTACCCTGACCATGCTCTTTTTAGCCCTCTTGGTTCTGTCCCTCACCACAGCACACCCTTAATCTATGCTACTCTTTTCTGATAGCACACATCACTTTCTAACTAGCCTAGTGAGTACGAATCGGGCTGCTAACTTCAAGGTCAGCAGTTCAAAACTACCAGCTGTTCCACAGGAGAAAGATGAGGCTTTTTGCTCCCATAAAGATTTACAGCCTCAGAAACCCTGTACAGGGTCAGTATGAGTCAGAACTGACTCCATGGCACACCACCACCACTACCACCATTTGCTTATCGCTATTGTTGTTAGATGCTGACGAGATGGTTCCAACTCATAGTGACCCTATGAACAGCAGAATGCAACACTGCCCAGTCCCCTGCCATTCTCACATTTGTTACATTTGAGCCCATTGTTGCTGCCACTGTGTCAATTCATCTTGTTGGGAGTCTTCCTCTTTTTCACTGACCCTCCATTTTACCAACCATGATGTCTTTCTCCAGGGACTGGTCCCTCCTGATAACATGTCCAAAGTATGAGACGAAGTTTTGCCATCCTGGCTTCCAAGGAGCATGCTGACCATACTTCTTCCAAGTCAGATTTGTTTGTTATTCTGGCAGTCCATAGTACTTTTAATATTCTTTTCCAACACCATGACTCAGATTCATCCATTCTTCCATTGTCTTTCTTATTCTTTGTCCAACCTTCATATGCATTTGAGGTGATTGAAAATACTATGGCTTGGGTCAGACATATCTTAGTCCTCAAACGGATCTCTTTGCTCTTCAACACTTTTCAAGAGGCTTTGTGCAGTAGATTTGCCTATTGCCACTTCCATGAGTCTTGATTGCGGATCCAACTTTGACAACTTTAATTTTTCTCCATTTATCATGATGTTATTTATTGGTCCAGTGGTGAGGATTTTTGTTTTCTTTACATTGAGATGCAATCCATACTGAATGCTTTAGTCTTTGATCTTCATTAGTATTTTAAGTCCTCATCACTTCCAGCAAGCAAGGTTATATCTGCATACCACAGATTATTAATAAGTCTTCCTCTAACCCTGATGCCATGTTTTTCTCATATAATTCAGCTTCTCAGATTCTTTGCTAAGATTGGATAAATATGGTGGGAGGATACAACCCTGATGCACACTTTTTCTGATTTTAAACCATTCAGTGTCCCCTAGTTCTGTTTGAATAATTGCTTCTTGTCTAAGTCTATTATTCTTGTGCGTCTCCCTTTTCTGGACGTACACTCCATGACAGTAGGGGCCTTTGTTTTGCTCAATGATATATAACTCAAGAATGGTTATAAGTGTTCAACAACTATGAAAGAATGAATAAACTAGAGAAATTATTTACATTTTGTTGTTGTCTACCTACTATGTATCAGGTCCTTGCTTGGAAAGGATGTACACAACGTTAATCTCATGCTCTCATCCCAACATGAAGGGTTTCAAAAGCGACAGCCATTTAAGCATCTAAAATTATGTGGAAAAAATACTCCAGTGAAGGTTCTTTGACATTTCCAGCCCACTAAAGTGTGAGGGCTGGGTCCACCTGCGAATATGCAGAGGACTCAACTGCCAAAACAGACAAGGACTTGCTGAAGATCAAAGACTACAGCCTTCAGTATGGATTACATCTCAATGTAAAGACAATAAAAACCCTCACAATAAATAACATCATGATAAACTGAAAAAAGACTTAAGTTATCAAGGATTTCGTTTTACTTGGATCCACAATCAACATCGGCCCATGGACACAGCCATTGAGAAATCAAATGATGTATTGCACTGGGCAAATCTGCTGCACACGACCTCTTTAAAGTGTTAAAAAGCAAAGATGTTTGTTTGAGGACTTCGATGTGCCTGACCCAACTCACGGTATTTTCAATCCCCTCATAGGCATGTGAAAGCTGGCCAGTGAATAAGGAAGAACGTGGAAGAATTGATGCAGTTGAGTTATGGTGTTGGAGGAGAATATTGAAAGTGCCATGGACTTCCAGAACAAACAGCTCTGTGTTGGAAGAAGTGCAGCCAGAGTGCTCCTCGGAGGCCAGGATGGCCAGGCTTAGTCTCTGGGACATAGTGTCAGGAGGGACCAGTCCCTGGAGAAGGACATCATGTTTTGTAAAGCAAAGGGTCGGAGGAAAAGCTGAAGACCCCCACCAGCTAGACAGGCACATTGGTAGCAATCAAGCTTAACATCGATTTTTCAGGAAGCAGCAGGACCCGGCCAGCAACACGCGGGGTGGCTCTGCCTGGGAACTGACTCGATGGCACCTAACGCATTCTTAGAGAAGCAGCTTCTGGTCGTTAAGTGCCATCCAGTCGGTTCCGACTCATAGCGACCCTTAATAGGATTCTGTGTAGGAGCAGAAGGCCTCGTCTTCTCCCAAGGAGCTGCTGGTAGACTCGAACCTCCAACGTTATGGTTCAAAGTCCAGTACTTATCCTCCAGAACCACCGCTCCCCAGAGAAGCAACTTAAGCGAATACATTTTGGCTTCGACTTTAAAGTCACATAGCCACACTGTGAGGATGGCGCAGGTCCAGGCAGTATTATTCGGTTTTACAGGTGGTGGCGAGGCGGCACAGACTGAAGAGAATATACCAACATAAAGTGTGAGGCGGCAACACACACCAAAAGGTCAGATTTTCAAAGATTTGACAGGAACGTTCAAGAAAAACATAAACCTAAGCTAATAAAATTTAACTTAAATATTCACCGCCGATGTTCCCAGGATCCTCGTTCTCAAGGCCCTCGTGTTGGCCCGCCACAACCTAGTCTCTTCCGCCTCGCGTTCCGACAGTTTGGTACGCAACGCCAGGAGGGGGCGCGCGAGGTCGCTCCCGGCAGGAGGACTTTCCTAAACTGCCTAGAAACTAGTGACGTCAACCAAGAAGCTTAGGAGGATTGGCTGAAATGAGTGGGGCGGGCAGGGAGCTAAAATGTTAGGAGGGGTGCATGGGGAAGATGAGGCTAAAACATCTGGATTTTATTTAGTAGGGAGGACATATTTGACTCAAGATAATTACTAATAAATAAAATAAAGTGTAAATAAGGATGAAATATTTGTTGCATCAGTAAATAATGGCTCCACAAAAAAGTCAAACAGGTTGATTACCCCTGTGTCTGTTGGGTACGTGATGTGACCTGAGCACGTGCGATGCCCCGCACGGGAATCGGCAGCGCGCACAGCCGTATTCCCACCTTGGGCCGCGGAACTTGCAGGGTGTAGGTGGTTCACACTTTCAAAACCTTCCGGGGGTCTCTCTCATGGCTCACCTCTGGAGGGCTAAGAGAGGGCGCCATGCCCATTTTGGAAAAGTCCTTTTTGCTCCCTGATCTTAGGGATTGTACTCCTTTTCCACATAGACCAAAAAAACCCTTGAACGAGCTTGCATTCCTTTCTTCACTCACCTGTACCCAAGAGCTATTAGGTGTTAAGTGTAGTCGAGTTGGTTCTGACTCATAGCGACCCTGTATAGGGTTTCCGAGGAGCGCCTGGTGAGTTTGAACCGCCAACCTTGTGATTCAAATCGACCTTACTGTCCAGTGCTTACCCTAAAGCACTACACCAGTAAAGGCAATAACAATGGGGCTAAGCGAATACGTTCACCACTGTTAACACCTCTCCAATCTGGGCCCCCGTTCTCACCTCCCATGCCAAAAGTCTTGGGAAGCCTGGCTCTTGACAAGTTTCTCAAAACTTCTTTGAGCCCAAACTGCGGGTTCTTGTCCTACAATAACTATGCTTTGGCTTTCCCTCATTCCTGGGCCTGGTGGTGAGCCGTGGGCTGAGTTCCATGGTGTAGTGGAATTTGTGGATTTGGAAGGTTTTCCAGGACAATTACAGGTAATCCCTGATTTCTGACGTGTTTCAGTTAGGACATCCACATTTAACTACTTGTCTTTCTTTTTTTGTTTATCTTTAATAATATCTTGTAACAGTGCATCATTTGCTGTTTTCATTCTCAAATGTTCACTCACATGTTCAAAGATCGGATTTATAAAACTGATATAAAAGACAAAAGTAATGGGAAAAACAGGTATTTTACTTCCCTCAAAACAATTTGCAACGTAGTCATAAGTTGATGACTGCTTATATATGCAGCTACTATCTCATTTAAGGAGCCCTGGTAGGATGCAACCAAGCACTTGGCTGCTAACCAAAAAGGTCAGTGCTTGTCAGTGCACTGTGGATTGTTCGCTGGTGATCCTGTAGAGATCACAGCCTAAGAAACCCTATGGGGCAATTCTAATTTGTTACATTGAGTAGAAATGTACTCTATGGCATCTAACAACAATAACACTATCTCATTTAACTATACTTGAGGGAGGCATTACTGTTACTCCCATTTTAAAAATGAGGAAGCAGAGAGCTCACACTGCTCACAAACCCACACAACTCACCATACGTCAGTGAGAGACCAGGGAATGATTATTGTAATTGGCCATTTTGGCATCCAGTGTAAGTCCTAAGACCCACCAGACATTAAGTTAAACATCCAGTGGTGTTCTGGACCAAGTTATATGGGATAATCCATCTCTTCCATTCAGAGATGCCAATTTGGTAGCTTGAAACCAGCCATGGTGAAAGTATTTACACCACTGAAATTGTCAAAGCCTACAAAACAGGGCTTTTTTTAAAGTTTCATTTTATCTTTATAGAAGTGTTTGTTTTTTAACTTTTCATTAAGAATTGAGTGAAGGTTTACAGAGCAGATCATCAGTTTTACTTTTTAAAAAAAAATCATACACTTCATTTAATCTCATTGATTACAGTCCCCTCAATATAATATCACTAAATGGTTTAAAATCAGGAAAGGTGTGCGCCAGGGCTGTATCTTTCTACCATACTTACTCAATTTGTATGCTGAGCAAATAGTCCAAGAAGTTGAGGCAAATTCATAGTATCTATTATATTAACCCCTTTAAGACTCATTTGTTGTTATTAAGTGCCGTCGAGTGAGTTCTGACCCATAGCAACCCTATATAGGGTTTCTGAGGAGTGGCTGGTGAGCGTGAGCCGCCAACCTTGCTGTTCAAACAACTTTGCAGTCCAGTGCATTAACCCACAGCACCACACCAGGACTCCTTATTAACAACCTGCAATATGCAGATGATACAATCTTGCTTGCTGAAAGCAAAGAGGATTTAAATTACTTGCTGATGAAGATCAAAGACCACAGCCTTCAGTATGGGTTACACATAAAGATTGTAAAGCAAACAAAAATCCTCACTACTGGACCAATAAATAACATCATGATAAATGAAGAGAAAAAAAATGAAGTTTTGAAAGACTTCATTTTGCTTGCATCCATTACCAACAGTTGTAGATGCAGCAGTAAAGAAATCAAACAACCTATTACATACATTAGGTAAATCTGCTTCACAAGACCTCTTTAAAGTGTTCAAGAGCAAAGACGTCAGTTTGAGAACTAAAGAGCATCTGACCCAAGCAAACCATGCTGTTTTCAGTAGCTTCATATGCATGCAAAAGTTGGACAATAAATTAGGAAGACCATAGAAGAACTTGTACATTTGAGTTATGCTGTTGAAGAAGAATATTAAATGTACCATGGACTACCCGAAGAACAAACAAATCTATGTTGGAAGAAGCACAACTAGAATGGTCCTTAGAAGCCAAGATGGTCAGACATTGTAGCTCATACTTTGGACATAGCAGGAGGGTCCAGACCCTAAAGAAAGACATCATGCTCGATAAATGGAGGGTCATCGAAAAAGAAGGAGATCCCCATCCAGATGGATTTGGCACAGTGAGTCGCAGCAGTAATGGGCTCAAGTGTAACAACACTTGACAAAGGACCGGGCAGTGTTGTGTTTTGTTGTACATAAGGTCACTATGAATCAGAACTGACCCGGCAGTACCCAACAATAACAACAGCCCCTTTAAACCACACTCATTCTTTGTATGTGTGTGGTTTTGAAATTTTTAACCCATTTATTATTATATTTATGTTATATATATATCTGCAAAGTGCTACCAAGTCAGCATCCTAGTCAGATTCCTTGTTAGAAATCAAAATTTCAGCACTTATATGTGGCAGGATATTTTCAGCTATTTATTTCTATGGAGTACTTTTGAACGTCATTTTTCTACTTTGTCAAATGCTTACATTTTCCTATCCTTTTTCAAATTCCTCAGTGGCATATTGGCCTTGATTTTCACTTCTTCAATTAAAAACTTAAATTTCACCATCTTTAAGGAAGCTAAAATAAGCCAATCTAATAAAAATAACTATGTCATCTGAAAATCGTTTTTTAATTGTTGTGATAAATTTGTAAGTTGGTCATTTGGTGAATTGAATTGTGGTAAATGGGCATACTCCAGCTAACCTAACCGTGTGTCTCTCTGTGAACAGTGTTTTCCTGAGGGATTGGGAAGGTCCTCCCTTCAAGTAGATAATTGCTCTGGCCCCAGGTAGTCATTTTTATAGAACTAGGTTCCAGTAATTTTTTTGCTGAGTCTTCAGGATTTTCTAAATTCATACCATCTGCAAATGAAGTTTCTCTTCTTCTTTGCCAATATGGATGCGTTTAATTTCCCTTTATTGCCTTATGTCTCTGGCTAAGACTTTCCATACGATGTTGAATATAAGTGATGATAAAAGACATCCTTGTCTGGTTCCTGTTTGCAAAAGGAATGACTTCAGTTTCTCACTGTTGAGAGTAATGTTGATTGTTTGTTTTATATATATATATATCTTTAATTGTATGGAGGAAGTTGCCATCTATTCCTATTTTGTTGATTGTTTTTATCAGAAATGAGTGTTAGATTTACTTGAATGCTTTTTCTGCATCAGTTGATACAATCATGTAAATTTGTTTGTTTGTTTTATGTATGTGGTGGATTATTTTAGTTGTTTTTCTAATATTGAACCATCCCTGTATACCTGACATGAATTCCACTTGGTTATGATGTTATATGAGTGTGAGTCAAGAATTATATGCACTCTGGTTATATTAAAATGCCTGTCCATATCCACAGCTGATGACAACATTAAGCATGCATGTGAAATGATTCTGTCTAATAGACAAGTGACAGTGGATTATATGGCAAATCATTTGTAAATCAGCCATGGCTCTGCCTATGAAATAATCCACGACAGACTTGGGTTTCGAAAAGTTTGTGTGAGATGGGTAACGAAACAACTCACAGAAGAGCATAAACAGAATTTGGACCGATACTTGAAAGAAAGCATAAGTTTGTTGTTTTTTTTAAATCATTACTGGTGACTAGACATGGATTCATCACTACAGCCTGAGAGTAAATGACAGAGTATGGAATGGAAACATCCTCAATTACCAACCAAGAAAAGTTCAAAAGTCAATCATCAGCTGAAAAATTGATGCTTACAGTTTTCTGGGATTCTTAAGGGCCAGTATTGGAACACTATCAGGAAAAGGGTTTAACAATCAACAGTGCTCATTACAGTGAGATGCTCACTGAAGAGCTGAAGCCTAAATTTGGGATTAACTGCAAAGGGCAAATATACCAAGGTCATTGTGATCTTGCATGGCAATGCACGTCCTCACACCTATGCCCACATTGTTGACTCTTCAAAAACTGCATTCTGAAGTGTTAAAGCATTGTCCCTATAGTCCTGATCTTGCTCTATTGGACTTTCACCTATTTGGTCCCCTAAAAACAACCCTTTGAGGATGAAGATTCACCTCTGATGAAGAAATGAAGACAGCGGGGCATCGTGTCTGGTAACTTGGCCTAAAACATTTTTTAATGAGGGACTACAATAGCCTGTTGACAGACGAACAACTTGTATTAAAAAGCAAGGAAATTATGTTTTAAAATGATGTATTTATCTTTTCTAAAAGTTTATTAAAATAAATTCTACGGCCAGAGTGCAGATACTTTTTTACTCACCCTCATATATAGTTGTTGTTGTTAAGTGCCATTGAGTTGGCTCCAACTCGTAGCGACCCTGCATAGGGTTGCCAAGGAGAGACTAGTGAACTTGAACTACTGACCTTGCAGTCCAGCGCCTTAACCCACAGTGCCCTACCAGGACTCACTATGTATATATAAAGAGAGGTGGAGTCCTGGTAGATATATATAACTTATGTTCCATTGGCTAGGTTTTTTTTGACAAATTTTTCATATATATTCATGAGGAAAATTGGTCTATAATTTTCTTTTTTACTGATGGCTTGGCCTGGGTTTGGTATCAGAGTTATCCTTGCTTCATAAAATGAATTCAGGAGTTTTCTATCCTTTTTCACATTTGAGTTTCTGAATGTTAGATCGAATTCACCAATAAAGCCATCGGGGC